AAACCCTAAAAACCCTAATAAAACCCTAAATAAAACCCTAATAAAACCCTAATAATAAAATTATAATAGTACTAAAATAATTCTACAGAGTAATAAATTACCAGCAGATCAGATAGTTTTATTAAATACTGGTCCTCTAGAAAGGACAGCACCATTACTGTACCTGTAGTAATAATACTTATAATTCCGGATACCAGTCCTACACTGGTATGAAGATCAGGGTCCTCTACCTACAGAGCCGTGTATAGTACATACAAAACTAATAACACAGCTAGCAGAGCCTATTATCTTGATATTAGTCAAGAATAAATGTCCCTGACTGTTATGTTTGGATTCATTTGTGATGAACGCACCAGTTTCGCCATTGCCAGTCGGAACAAGCCCAGTTTGACCTGGGCAGTGCGAAGGAAATGCAGTCGTTGGGGAACCAGAACCAGGAACAGGGCCGCTAGGAGCAATCCAAAGAAACCATCCTCAAACAGTAGTGTGAAATCGAATGGACGACAGTTGGGGTTAATACAAGGACCGAAGACATTGTCACTGTCTGGCAGGCATTCCATGGTGACTGATGATATCGTAGTGGAGAAGGGACGAATTGACGGGAATGATGGGGGAGGCGACCTGGATGGGGTAAGGGCCAGGCATCCCCCCCCCCCAATCATCCAATAGAGTGGGGCATCCTTATCTGAGCATTTGTTTTACTCCCGGTACCCCTGGCCACTAGGTTAGAACTATCATCACTCACCCTGGCTATTTATCAGACATTTGGTGGAACAACGTCCGTACGGGTCAAGAGTGACAGGATAATATCTAGGGGAATGGTAGAGGCACGGACAGGCGCTAAGCACTCACAAGCATGGCCAAGCTTGAGCCATCTTCCCCCGCTCGGTGAACCGCTGGCCTGGGCACTTTATCTACTACTGATACCTACTTGCCAAGCTTAATATGATCATGATAGGTATCAATAATAAGCATGCACCGACCGATGGTACGGAACTTCCTCTTACACATTGAGTATGAAAATATTGGACACTCCACACCTCGAAGGTAACGACCCTGATGGTTGATACCGAGCTAGCTTTTGTTCTCCTCCATCATGAAAAGGAGCGGATTTCGCTTTGTTGAATTGATCCTCACGGTTGACACCTAGGCTGAATAATCGGAAATCGAGCGTTCCGTTAGGCTCGGAGTAAAGGCGACCGGGTCCCTGATTCCCTACTCCGTACATGCTTACGGATTACCCCGCAGATGCAGCAAAAGGATCGCGGGTCATCGGTGTGATACCCGCCGTGGTATAGTTTTTGGTTCAGAGTCGGGTTTACCCTGGAGTCAAATCATAACGAGGGAATTCATACCCATTAGGTACATACACCGTCGGCTGTCCGGACGGAGAATGCTTCATATGCCGTTTGCGTTCTAGCGCTGTCTCAGTTCCCTACAGTCCATGCGAATGTCAGCCCCCCGATACCCCTGTCCGAATGGATCTGGAGATATTGTTGGTGATTACCATTGGCAGCGATCATGGCACGAGCGGCAGGCCCTGCAGGAAACTAAGATTTTGGGTCGGTGACAGCCGTCGTGGTTTCTTTCCGCGTGCATGAAGCCAGCGCTAATAGCGAGACGATGTCACATTACTGCATGATGGCGATAGATGCTCGATTTCAAGCAAACATTATTGGGGGAGACATATAGCCTAGGCAGATAAGGCAGGATAGTAGGTAGTCTTCGTGGCTCATGCGGTCATTTAAGCGTGTTTGTCGTAATGCAGCCAGAAGTTCATCGAACTTGAGCTGCGAGAGCTCTGTTCTTCGATGGCTGTTCTTGTGGGACATGTGAGTTCGTAGATTAATCCACCCCCTCCCCCCTTTCCCGGGGAAAATACTGAAGGCTCTTATAGTTATAGGGGGAACAGCTATATGCACTCAACCACTAGGTCCTTCGGCTTCCGGATTCCATCGAAACAATGAATGCAGAAATAGATGCACAGGTGGCAATTGAGGCCCTCCATCGTAGGAGAGTCCAGAATCGTCTTGCACAGAGAAACCGTCGTATGTCACACGCTTGTGATTCTCTGGCTTAGAAATTCCGATCCCTTTCAAAATGACTAATGACACTGGATATGAAGGCAAACGACAAGCTGAGCTAGAACAGTTGCGAATGCAAAATTTGGCCAATAAACAGCAAGAACGCCCCGAGGAGAGGCGGAATGAGGAGACTATGGCCGCCGACAACAAGTCGGGTCAAAGCTGTCCACCAACGGTGGGAGACGGTGTGACTGGTGAACAAACAAATACAACAGCGGGGTCTGATATGTCAGTTGATTCAACTATTGGAATGCACAACTCCCCGGTTGAACCCCTAGCGGTAATTGCACCTGACAAGTTGTCATGGCATCAAGATGGATATGTCGGTGGAGGCTTGGATTTGAGCCCAAGCACGTTGACTGGGTATGATAAGATGAATGGTTCAATCACAACCTTTCTCCTTGACCCGGAATTGGATCTGCCACGGGATAGCAGCACGCCCAAGTTAACCTCTATTAATCCCACGTCCGCCAGCACCCCTCAAGCCCGCAGCAATCCACTTCTGCACCAGGAGAGCGCTATACGAACCACACGATCAAAATTCGAAGTCCGCCAGAGAGTCTGTAAGGCTCAGGCGACAAATTGCGGAGTGATTCGACATCAGTGTAAGGAAGGGCTGCCCACTGTTCGAATGAACGTTCCCACGAACCTGTCGGCCATGATGGAGATATGGGACAATGGCAGCCTGCTACACAAATACAGCTCAGAAAGCCAGGGCAAGACAGCCCTCCACATAAGTGCCGAGCGTGGCGACGTTGGAATTGTGCAGTTTCTCCTTATTCAAGGGGTAGACGTCAATTGCGCAGACGGGTGGGGACGTACTGCATTGCATTATGCGGTACGAGCTGCGCATGTTGATATTGTCACGCAGTTGCTTGCAGCGGGCGCCGAAATCGGGGCTCGCGATCATCATGGCCAAAGCCCACTGCATGTCGCAGTGGATGTGGGTTCCGAGGTGATCGTGCGACTGCTAGCAGACGAGGGCGCAGACCTCAATGCCCCCATCGATATCCCAAACTATATACGTGAGGGAGCGTGATATCTTCGTGTGAGGATCCTTCAGGCTGAATGCGCTTCTATGTTTCTTTGGGAACGATATACTTTCCTATAGCCCGAGAGGAAGCACAATGGACATCGTGATATTGACTTGCAAATATCTAATCAGATTGAGATGAATGGCTTTTCATGACTAGCTACAATAGAAACTCCAGTTCCTTATGTAGGCAAAGACGCACCGTGAATTTCACATTGACATCTTTCTGACTACCAACAAGCCAAAGAGAGTAAGTTAGTGAACTACGATGACTTCGCTGCTACAGAAGCTAGTACTATATATTCAACGGCGGCAGATGGCGTAGTGGTACTAGGACCTCACCACACAAACCTTCATACTACGGAAAAAAAAAAAAGACTGATTGGGTATTGAGAATAAGTATAATATATAATGGAGGTTTTGAAAGAAATACAAAGTCATAATAACTAGTAGTTAGACTGAGAAAGGGCCCTCTGAAAGGGCGCGCTAGTCGAGTATAAGGCAATCATCATCATCATATTATCTAGTTAGAATGGGGCAATGTTTTCAGACTGTCAATATTGAGGACGTGGGTAGAATTAACGTTTATGATTGTATAGTAGAGACTGTTCAGCACCTAGATGCTATTTTTCTAGGCTCAGAGAGTTGTTCTTTTGTTACAGTATCTTTAATGTTCAGCAGAGACTAATAGGGATAAGTACAACCGGGGCATATACTAGTAAGAAACCCGCCCCCACCCAACAAGAAGTAACCGTGCAACGGTAAAATTAACGGATCAGGAGAGGATGATAAAGAGTAGAGTAGTCTACATGTATATCCGCAGACGATGACTTATATAGCAGAGCCGGTGATAGTGGACTCATGAATGCTAGGACTAGTACTACCGCTGTTGCTTGTAACACACTCCCATGGGCTTTATTAAATCCCCACTGATGTAGGGACGAAAGATGCTTGATCCCCGAACTCAACGCAGTCAATCCAGTCCTTTTTACAAACACCCATGAAGCATTTCCAGAGGGTACCTGTCAAGCAATCTCCCCGGATTCGTAGTCACCGACATCCTCGTGGTCAAGAAACCATCCGTGAATCTCCTTGAACTTATGCGTCATCACACGGTAGGGGTATCCGTCCGGCCGTCTAAGGGCGACAAAGTCGTCCTCATCCAAGGCATTCCGCCGCTGCCAATCCAAGATGGTGTCGTAACTCTTGCACTGGTGTTGAATGTTGAAGTCCGGCCATGCATGGTCCAGGGTATCGGTCCAGATATGCGTGTAGACATCTGTGTTGGCCGAGCACATGATATTCTGGGCCAGGAGCCACACGCAGTGCGACAGGTGCAGCCGATGCATCTCGGAGGTGGTATTGAGACCGCCGGGGTATTTGGCGCCGTAGTAGTGGCCGAAGTATGCCTCGCGCCGCAGGGCATCGAGACAATGCATTTGATGGAAGGCGTCGATGCGGCCGAAGTAGCTGTCGTTGCCGCGACCCCAGCTGGGCGGGATGCGGACGGCCTCCGCCGGATCCTTGCCCATCGCCAGGACCTGGCTGCGAGTCAGCGCAATTGGTCGGGTATCATACAAGGCGGCCCAGGCGCGATCGATTTCGATGCTGGGTTCCTGGCGGTAGATGGTGGGGGGATCCCTGTTGAGGAGGGTGGCGTCCATCCGCTGCGGTGCGACCCGTATGTCCACTTCGTCCAGGATCGGGGCTATGAGTTTCCTGGTGCATTAGGGAACACTGGCTAGGAGTGGCTGGTGACGAAGTTCTACTCACACGGCATGGAGACCTGTTGAAGGCAGTAGTTTCGCTGTGTATCCTCTCCGCGCTCCTTGTACAGTGGGGGAGACGGCGATAGGGATAGCGTGAACATTAGGCTTGATATCAGGAAGAATCCCAGGTTGAGCCATAGAAGGCGTACCGGATCAAGCAAACGTCGTGTGTTGTTGGAGTCTGGAGCAAAGACATCCCCCTCACAGTTGCATTCAACAATCCCGTCTTTTTCGGAAACCAGATGATGAACTTCACCGGAATTTGGCAGAGTTGTGTACGAATGCACAGTGGCTCGGAAAATAGGAGCAGCCCTTGTGGCAATCCATGACTGCAATCTAGTACGCAGTGACTTTCCTTCGGCCATTATGTGTCTTTGGGATTTATGGTGATGTTCTGTAGGTGATGGGGCTGTGTACGACTACAATGTGCTTTCAGACCACAACAATCCCTAACCCCTCCCCCCCCAACACATTTTCAGACCTCACACGGCCGAGAGTTCTTACTCAGATGTCTTTGTGAAGATAGGCTAATTGAATGATGACAGTGACTTGTGGGTCTGGCTGGTATGACTGTCAGCACACCACCCAGCATGTCAGCATGACATTTTGCCAGACGATTGGCACACAACATGTGCAATGAGACCTTCGTTCCCAACTCTACATCCTAATTCTAACCAGCGTTACCCTGGAACAGGTAGGATGATGGACGGCAAAAGACACAGTTATCACTTTTGGCTCCTGCTTGGCCTCACTGTCACGTTCCTGGGAGTCCTTGCGGTATCCTTTCTCCGCATGAACAACAGTGCCGACTTTTGGATTCCATGGCTAAGGGTATCACATATATCATGCGATTCAGGAGCTCTTGGTCCCTATTTAGAGACATTTTCGTATCATCGATCTGAATCAGAGGTGGCGTCTCCGGATCCCTTCTCTGCCAAATGGATGGACAGCAGTAGTACTGGGTTCGTTCAGATACACGAGGCCGGTGGGAAGACAAAGCACTACGGGGTGTCGATGTTTCATCAACTGCACTGTCTAGAAAGCCTGAAGATGGCCCTTAAGCACGAGTCGCACCATACAAGGTACTGGGAGAGAAGAGGGGAGGGCGAGGGCGAGGGCGAGGATCATTTAGAGCATTGCCTTCAGTATCTCGAGCAGGTAAGATACTATCAGATATTACGCACTTGCATATCTCGTGCTGAAATCTGCCCTTCACAAGGCGATTATGTGCGCAGCAGATGACACCATCGAGCCATCCTTTGTCGCTGAGTTACCCACGGGTGAAAAGGCTCGAATTATCAATGGCGACGGCGTTGTGCATCGGTGTAGAAATTTTGACGAGGTCCAACAAGCTATGATACTCAGCGAAAAAAATCCGTTAGTTTTGCAGAGACGATTAGGGGAAGGAGATACCTTGCGTATGATTATGGATTCGGTGCGTTGACCTCCAGCTGGGAGGAACACATGCGACGGCATTAACCACGCCCTATGTATCTCAGTATACGAACATATAGATGAGGGCTGTGTTTGATGAGCATGGATTTCACATACATAAGTAGAATATCACCCACCGCTTGGACAATACATCTACTGTTCGATATCTATTATGAGATGGAAAGCGCAACAAACTTCTTTGATGGCGACGGCCAATATTACGCATCCTAGGACATGGAACTATATGAAGCAAAGACAAATCGGGTAAATACAGGAAAGATCCATGATCACCCCGTCTATCATCAAAAGGAAAGTACCTCCACAGAGAAACACTCCAATATATTGAACAGCTTCCTTCTTACAGACCACTTGCTGCGGTCCTTTCCCTAGCGGCCTTTGCTTCCTCGGGATGCTCCCGCCAGTATGTGAAGAATGTATTGCCCGGAAATTCCATATACTGGTCATCAATGCTCTCCCACGGCGCATTGTCAAATCCCGATTCCCGCATAATCTCTTCCGCTTGCTCCGCGGTGACATTGTAATTCCAGTAGCTGGCCTTGTGTTCCTTGGCCCATTCCTGGATCTTGGTAAAGTTTCGACAGGTATGCGTGGTTGCCAATCGTGGCACAATGACCTTACTTGCTGGGAAGTTGACCCGGAAGGGAATTGGAGCAACGTCTGCGTGGCACATGAGGGTTTCCCTGATGGAGTCAACACAGTGATCTAGCAATAGATAATTAGCTAGGGGTCAAAAATGTTTCCGCAAACGCTTGTAGGGGATGACTCTCACCCCAATGACGGAATTCGATGCTTTCACGGTCGATGACACCTTTGTCATTCGTCACGCCCGCCAGCCCTGGAAACCGTTCGGGGTATAGTAGCATTCGCAAGTCGTTGAGGCAATGCAGCTCGTGCCATACATCAAGCTGTACGAGATATTCGTCGGTTCCAGGAACTTTTAGCGTTGGATGGGGAAGCATCCTCGCCTCATGTTCTGGAATCTTGGAGATTCCGACTTTGATCGGTGTCAGGTATTTTCATCCCCGAGCTCAGCAAGGCCAGCACTTACAGTTATATAGCTCCTGCCACAGGCGGTCCGTTTCGTCGGTCGGAAATCCCATGTATGGGGTCTTCTCAAAGAGCGCAGCACGAAATTTGTGTTGCTTGATATACTCGATGGCCTCGTTGGCAGGTGCTGAATGAGGCAACCTGGGTCAACCATTGGTTTATGATAGCAACATATGAGAACGTACAGTATACGCCGATGGTGGGATCCTGGAAAGGTCGATGCGATAGACTTCCAACCAATGCGGCGATAATCAGTAATAGAATGGCGTTGGACACATAGAGGGTGACAATATGAGCTCTCGAGTATATTCTAAATCGTGGCGGTTGCTTGGTATAGTAAGATTCGATGAGGCTTTCCTTTTCATGGTGACGGATGGAATCGATAGAGGTCTCTGTGGATGATCGCTCGGGCATCATGGCAGAGTACGGAAGACGAGTTGAAAGGGGAGAAGCCTTCAGGGCGCAATCAGCAGGGAAGTTTGTGGGTTCTCGTGGATGCCAAAGACTCGCATGCCCGCAGGTTAGCACATTCCTGAACATGGCGCCTGTCATCCGTGTTCTGACAGCAGCCACTTGATGTGTGCTGACAGTCGTAATCCTATCTGCTGTGAGAGGTCTATCCATATAGTCGTGTTCTCCCTCGCCTACCAAGGGAAATATCATTCGCATTGCATCGAACAAACTGAGTTCTGTCTTGAAGTATCATTCACGGTCTCGGACTCTATATATCTTGATAACCGTACAATCCACAATGAAGATCGCTGCCGTTCTTACCCTGGCCATTGCCACTGTTCTCGCACTGCCCGTTGGTATGATCCCACCCGATAGGTATCGAGATTCCGATTATATAAACTAAGAATTGCTAGCCGATGACTCCGCTGCGTTGGAGAAACGCTGTGGCACCGCCAAGCGCGACGAAATCAACGTCGCAGTTCGGTCCGCCGTGAACACTGTCAAGCACAAGCGAGAGCTCACGGAGATCGATGTGGATGAGATTTCCGCCGCCCTCTACTCGTCTTGGTGCACTCCATGAGTGCTCAATCTAGTCACCATTGACTGGGCTGCCTTGCAGATGTTTGCGGAAGAAGGATTGGGGAGCCTATGGTCACGGACCTCATGATTTGAACAAGAGATTAAGTGGGGATCTGGAGTGGAAGGGGGTCGGAACATTGGGAATCCGGATGCGCCTGTTACCTACCATCTTTGCGAGGCGATTAGAAGCTGCAGGCATCAATATAACAGGGTGGTAGTTGAACGATTTCCGTTGGTCGTATCTTCTTTGGTCTTTTCGCCTCCTGACAAAATTATTTGCATCTCCTCCAAGTCGGAGATCACGTAGAAACGCACAAAGGTACTTCCGGCACATGATACCATTACTGATGATCTGTTATAAATTTCAGACTGGTCTCTGTCCTTTGTGGCTTTCCTCTGTGGGTTCACCTTTGTGTATATGCCGTCCAGGTTATATCACCCTTTTTGATTTGCCCTTTCTCGCGTGCCTTGATTTTATGCATTTACGTTGGGGTTGAAATGTTGCATGTATCAATCAGATAGAAAGTCATGGGAGGGTACCACTGCAAGACATCAGGCTTAATTCTACACTATGGGTTCTGGGGACTGTTCAACAATCTCCAGGTCTCCAGTCCATTCAACCCATCCCACTTGCGGCATTGATGTGTAGTTCCATATCCACTTAGAGTTCTTTTCCCTGGATCTGGGCCCTCGAGTGTTGCATCCCCGGCGCAGAGGATCGCTTGCCGCAGATAATCAACGCAATGCTCCATGTGGCGTACCGACTCCGAGTCCTCCGCGTGATTCTGTTGTCCATTTCCACCCGGAAAATGTAGAGTCGCCACGTGAAGCTGTTTCAGACAATGCAGTTGGTGATGCACGCTAAGCATGTAGACATTCGCCGTCCCTGCCAGGACATCTTTATTCGGTGGTAAGGAATATAGCTCTGGCCTTTGCACATGCACAAATGCCGTCGTTTCTGGTGCCGTTGTGCCATTAGATTCAGGGAGGGTGCGAGATATAGAATGATGTAACAGGTCATAATAAATGAACGCATACCGTAGGCACCCCAGGCAGCCTCCACTTCAGCAACGCTCGTCAGGTTAGTCATGGTGGCAGTTCGGGTGAAGTTGCGGGAAATCCATGGTACTGATGATAGGAATCAGTTCCGGGCGAGGCAACGAAAGTGAATTCTCACACTTACTCGGCGGAACGGGGGATGCTGGCCAAGGCTGGGACGCATCCGAGTACGATCTCACTAGAAAGAGAATTGTCGAGGCTTCCAACAAACATATTCCAAGTAGGCTAAAAAAAGCAAATGGATGAAAATACTGAAGTGCCGAGGTAATCTTGTAACTGGTTGAAGTCGTCAAGTTAGGGTTTTGGAATGGGCGCTTTCGCGAATTGGCATTCGGCTCATCCCCTGCAACAAGTTGATATGACGGTTCCATATCGAGATATCCACAACGTTGGTACACACACACACAGAGAGAGAGAGAGAGAAAGCCAACCGATCACAACTGGACTCAAGCCAAATCAAGTGAAAAAAAAGCTCGGATCAGGCCCGTACTGTATTTCACTCCTTTGGGTTAGCCTTGTCAGCACACAGTGCGTCATTTTGCGATGTTCTCATTGGACCACCAGATACACATAAATCAACAGATTTGAGTCCCAACCCCGCAATCTGATAGCAACCCAAATCGCTACACTGTCTCTGCATATTATCTTTACATACCACGAACACGAGGTATTTACACCTCCATCCTTGCATTGAAATATGGCTGCTGCGGTTTCATCATTATTCCGCTACTCCACTGGGGCCGTTGCGACATCCGAGACCGCTAAGGCATTCTCATGGGAGGCCCCGGTGCCTGTCAATACATTCTGGGATAGCTTTGAATACTCCGTCGCTCGTAACTTTCTGGCCAATTTCTCCGATGCCGAGCTTACACAGCTGCCCATTGACGAGGCAAGTTCCGATGACCACCGAATCAAGCTGCAGCTCCTCCTACGGCTGCTCCGAGAGAAACTAGAGCAGGAGGAGGCAGCTACGTCGCCTCCGCAGTCTCTCTACACAACCGATTACCTGCGCTGGTACCAGTTGTGGCAGGGGATCTATTGTCTTCAAGATAAGTTGGACCTTCCCGAGGCCGAACAGACCGTTCGGATGCTGGTGGAAAAGAGGCCCGACGAATCAAATGTGGTGCCACCGCACATGCTCGCGGACCACCTGGTGAAGATTGGGAAGTACCAGGAGGCAGAGGAAACTGAAAGGCCGGTTTGCGCATGGATGGATTCACGGCCGCACTTGGGACCATCTTCTCCACAAGCCATCAACGCTCGCCGGATCATCGCCCAAGCCTTGTGGGGGCAGGGACCATCAAGGCGCTCGGAAGCCGAAGCCCTGGTGGCCGAAATCCATCGGCTCGTGGACACGATGGATGGAGGGAAGTTTGGTGTTTATCAGGCTGAAGAGAAAAAGCTCAACGAGGAGCTTGTGGCCAAGCTCCACATCTCCTGACCTGGTTTGATCTTGTGTCGCGGCTTGTAAGCCCGACCATCTGTAGACAATGACGTTGAAGTGAGGCTTCTCTATCGTGTGGGTAGCTGCTAGATATGAATCAGAAATGGTTCTCTGCTCTACACAGACCCCACCATCTTCTACTCGATTTTTACTCTAGAAATCTAAGTAACGCTTCTTTATAATCTTGTCTTAACATGTACACCTGCAGTGTTACGGTGTGCTAGATACCATAGGAACCTCCCCACCACAAATTGTTCATTGTGGCGGCCCCCACGCCATTTTCTTTCGTCCACTGGTTTATGCTGTCGAAATTCCGACAATAATGAAGTGTTCCAAAGTCAAATGACACATCTCTAAATAGCTCCGTCTCAGAGGTTGTTTCGCCGTTATAATAAAGAGTGACGGCTCCGACATCACCCCAACACTGGCGATTGGTACGAAGTTAGCCAATGGTCCAAATCCAGGCGTTGGAAGTCCTTACCATGATAGCATGACGCAGTCGCTCGATACACTGGTATGCTCTATCCCATACCAGGGAATTCTCACCTTGAAACGAGGGGAGATGAGTGAAGTTGTCGTCAGAACGATAGCCGAGCTGCCGGAGAAAATTTAAGCAGCCTAACTGCACAGCATACTCAGGGAGTGCAAGGATAGCACTCGCATCACCGGGGTCCCGAACCCAGGCAGGATCATCTGCTGAATCTAACTGTCCAAGGCTCTGCAGCCGGTCTGCAGGGATCGAAATTGGGTGCTCTGAAATCGATATCAGCTATGTCCCTTTGTTTTCTTTTCTTTTCTTTTCTTTCTTTTTTTTTTTTTTTTTTTTTTTTTTTGCACGCTGGTCTTTCTCCGGGGAACTGGAGGATGAGCCAGGTGACAGGGCAGAGAACCAAACGCACGTGGAAGTAACTCATTCCACGCATCCTCAATCTCTTGAGTTGGGCGGAAGCTAAAATATGAAGTCTTTATGGAAAATTGGTGGTTTTCGAACGTTTCCCAGTGGTACTTGATAATATCCAGCGCCGGCGACCAAGGGTAGGTGAGCTTGTCACAGCTCGCCTCACTTGGCTCAATATGCAAAGCCTTCAAGACGATCAGAGCGGCACAGACAAGTAAAAGAGCACAAGCCAGCAATGAACAGAGAAATTGAATATTTTTGCAGCCTTGGATGAACATGATTGGTTCTGTCGTGGGACATCAATATTGCTGGCTGTCCTGCAACTTGACCATTCAATCGTAGTTCATGATAGTAAGACACTGAAATGTAGTGAAGCGATGTCGAGGCGGGCACGTTCTGGGAGCGTCTCGGGAAGCTTCCATGAAGTGTTTGTGTGCTGACAGGGGCGATCTCGAAGGCTTACCAGGTCGCCCGTGTCATGTCCACACTAAAATGTCCTGCTGACGCCAGCACCCACTGCAAGTACCTTGAGCCTTTAGCCTGTTCTGTTGTAGCCCTGACACTTAGCATGCAGTTCTCTCTTCGTCTATTCTACTGGAATGATTCTTCACCTCGGTACTGGGTAGATTGAATCGCTCTCAGACAAAGTCGTTCAAATGTTCAAGTATAACACCCTGACGCCCGAAAAGGACGAGGAAACCCATGATGCCACAAGCAATTCTTTGATCACAGAGGAAGAGGGCATTATTCCTCTGCTGGACGAGAACGCCGAGAATCAGCGGGCGCATGATGGGATACCAACTACTCGTGTCTCAAGCTATTCTTTTGTAGTTCTACTTGTCGGTGTCGTGTCCTTCATCTTCTCGGTGCTGTTCTACGCCGTTCGACACTCCTACGCAGCAACAGACTCTTCATGTCAACGACGAATGTGGGCTTACAGTAAGCTACTCGCATCCCACTAGGATGAATGCCAGCTGACGGGAAACTCAGGCCCGGAATCGGACTTTTTGCAGTACGAATCGCGACAGTATGATTCAGATTTAATCTCTCACGATTTCGTGGGCGTACCTACCCAGAGCCGTCGGGACGCGTGGGATACACTGTGGAAAAGTAAGTTTGGTTCCAGCCTTCAGCCTAGCAAGTACGAAATTTGAATTGTGTCTGACAATTAACGGTATCAAAGCCGGACGATTTAGCTTTCCGTACGACAAATTGCCCGCCATAAACAAATCAACAGAGGAACGCGAGTGGTGGAGTCTGCCTCCACCGCGTGAGCAAGAAGTGATCGCAATGTCTGAAGGTCGGTGTCGCCTGCAACCCCCCCTTTCATGCTCATTACGCTTTAGATAGGTTCTGACTGCATAGCAGCAATGCATCAGGTCCACTGCGTTGGCGTACTTTGGTTCTTTGTGCATCGGAATGAATGGGATTACCGCACAGCCATCAATAAGACGGAAGAATTCATGCAGATTCATTCTCGCCACTGTAGTGTCATGCTGATGAACTTGATCAAGTGTATGGCCGATGTCACCCCAGTACTCTTTCAAAAGGACACCGGGAATGTCATTTCGGGAACCGGGTTGGGGGCTTGGAAACCGCGAGATGCGCCCCGTCGATGTAAGAGATTTGACAAGATCTGGGATTGGGAGCGCAAAAACAGCATCTGCCCTATGGGGTGTGTACCCGAAGATATAGCACGTCTCTATCCTGGGACTGCCTAAACCTGTGAAGAAAGGCCTTTGTCAACGTCATGCTTCGTGATGGACATGTTTCCGTCTAAGAGTAGTCCGTCCGGCGTTAGCAAAAAAAAAAAAAGGCCACTTGCGATCAGTTCCACCAACATCCAGCCCCTTCCTCCATCCTCCAGATCCTCGCAACTTTTCCTGTTGCTTGATGCTTCTCCTTTCTCTGTGGCTATTATCCTCAAGCGACACTGCTACTGACAGTCACCCTCCTGTTCCCCGCCTCTTCCACTGATCTAATATTGAGAGTAGCGCACCTTTCCTTTCCCCGGAGGAAGCGCATCTATCTTCACCATGAGAAGCCGGTTATACACACGATAAGAATTAACCCAAACCAGAGCCACGCTGGTAGCAGGCAACCTTTGCTCGCCACCTTTAGAAAGTGTTGACAAGAAAAAAATCCAAAGCCGGAGGAGACTACGGATGTTCCGATCCGCGGTTGGACTACCCATGGTTCGCTGCACGGGCCGTCTCCCGCTCCGGATGCGGTCCCCACTTCTCGCCAGTCACATATCCTCATTCCCCAAACTCCCGGCAGTGGCGTGGTGGTTTACCGAGTGTTATGGCGGTGGTATATATCGTAACGTGGTCAATCAACGAACCTCTTACTTCAAACCCTTATCAGTTGGTTGACGTGATGCCGACAACGGCTTGACAGGTGCAGGCGTGGTCGGACATGTCATCATGCAAGATCGGGTGACCGATTCCGCTTGTGCTCCTGCGGTCCCTTTCTCCACTAGTTGTTCCAGCCCCCCGCCTACCTCTGCAATGCCAACATTCATCCGTTTGCCTCGTCTTCAAGCATGCTGAGCTAGGATTGGTCCAAATGCCCCTATACCATTATGTCGGGACTCTGCTTTTCTCACATGTATCAGCTGGCGGTTGCTACACCGTTGCTACACCAGTTCTTACTGCGGACCCTGATCGGCAACAACTGTACGTTTGAGGTAGGGGACATCCACACGGTTCGTGCCCTGCGCTAAGCCAGTTGATCTTAATCTAACTAACCACCCTAACGCCCCAGAATCGCAATGCGGCAGGCAATGGGTTTCAAAACACGGGCTGAATAAGCGACATGAGCCTAACGAAAAGGTTCTGCGCATTGGGGGCTGTCAGCCTGCTCTCCCCGTCTCCGACTTTCTTCAGACTTCCCGCCTGGAAAAGTGCACAGCCTTGGTTGATGAGCTTCTGAATATCTGCATTTTACCTTGACTATCATGACGACCGACATGGAAGGTTACACCATTCGTCGGAACAATTCCTGTCTCAGTGATGAAGTAGGGTGCGGCAAGACATGGGATGACTGGCACGCCTGCTGTCCCCACGGGTCCTACTGTCCCGGCTCGCGGTATTCGGTCGCAAACAATGTCTGCTGCCCGAGCTGGACTGACTGTACGGCCGACATTGATCCGCCGGCATGTGCTAACAGCACCTGGAGTATGTATAACTACACTGGGTATTTCTGCTGTTCCGAAGATCAGAGCGGCTTCATGCTGAAGGGGACGGATTGGGTGGGCTGTTTGGACTCCGACTCCCCGGGAAATGCCAGTTATAGCGCACTCAAATTGATCAGTTACGGTATTATTTATTCAACCATGGTATTGACGAACAATGCTGACGTTTGCTGACTACTAGCTACCTCAACTGCAAGTGCAACATCAACGCCGACATCGACATCTACTTTGAACGCTACAGCAACGACAACGTCATCCGCCACCTCAGCTCCAAATTCAGACAGCTCATCACATACCAACACTGGTACTATAGCAGGTGGTGTAGTGGGTAGTGTCATCAGAGTAGCTGCGATCACTGCACTTCTCTTCTTTTTCATGAGACATTCAAGAAAGCCAGTACCGCAGCCCCCGCCGCAGGGCCTGAGTCAACAATATTCACAGTATAGCTACGGTGCAGAACCATTATCAACTCCAAGCAAGTTAGATGGCCACCCAGTACCAGCAGAACTGATGTCGTCAGTTAGGCCAAAGCATGAGTTGTCTGGGAGCCACTAATACACTCAACTAGCAATATACCTCACATAATGCACCCACTAGCCATCAGATTGTTTATATTTCCTAATTAAGGAAGATCGCTCGCCGCAGGATCGGCCATGAAATTAAACTGAACATTTAATAGTAGAGAATACTGCCTGTTTACCAAGAATAAAATTAGATTCCAGGATTAACAGCTGACTTAGAGAAAAGTCTCTTCAGCTGGAACAGTTCTTAAAATATCATCAGTAAATAAAATTGCCTCCGACAACTATACATCGGGAAAGCTGGCTCCTGAAGTTTGTTCCATAATTACATCTTATCAGTGCATAGAATTATGCTATAATATAATATTGAATTTTCGCCTCATTCCTTTACTTAGCTTTGTTATAATAGAGCTCGTTCCCTAAACCTGGGTAGCAGTATAATATTATCCAAATATTATGTTTTTGAAGATCTCCTACCGCGTAAGGAGACCTCCGCCTAGGCTAGAGAGGATTCTGTGGATTGCGTGGATTAGTAGTCGCGAGGCCTTATCTCAGGCATTATATTATCTTTCTTACAACGCCCTTCCTGTGTTCCTCTTTTAGTAAATTAAATGCTCTAGTTTATATTTATTATATACTTTACTATCTCTGCACACTACACTTATTTAAATAAATTAGCTTATTCCTGGTACTTTTTCAATCACTTTCTCTACTCTTATCCCCTCGCTCACCCAAACAATAGTTAAGACTCTCACTATAGCTAACAAAGATGTCCCCCCCAACGTACACCATCTGCTCTAAGCCCGGCTCTGAGTCTGTGTCTCTTAAAGTCTGTGCCACGTGCAAGACACAATGGTACTATTCCCGGGACTGCTAAAAGACTGATTAGAAGAAACACAAACATACATGCAGCAAGAACACCGGTGAGAAATTGACCAGTTCTTTTATCACGGGAAACGTATTCTCCTGTCCCCGAAGCCTTAAAATATATATTCACAAACCCTTCCATTAACTATATAATAAGACTTGGTTATATAATCACCCTGAGAACAATATCTATCAGCCACTCATTAATGTATACTGGATGTAGATAAAGAATGAATATATCTTTTATAAAAACATAAATCTGGATTATATCTATAGCAGTGCACTAGATAGTCACAAAGAATTTCAGTATTTCTTGTATCTGATGGAGAACAAGTATAAGTTATTACCTCAATGATGGTCCCCTGAGAAAGTAAAAATATATATAACATTCAGCCTGAGACCGGTAAACAGCTGGAGCTTACTTGCTTATCCAGTAGAAAAAGCAGATATTCTAAACTATTATAAAAATCCGTCATTTCCAATATAATTATAAATGTTTGGAGAACAGGTGTGGGAAATAAGACCAGCTAGATAATCAGAGACTACAATAATGCAGTAAATAATATAATTCAAGAGAGGGAGGGAGTCATTATTTTAAGGAATTATACAGATTATGCCGTGACTCCTTTTCAGGATTTACTAGTTATAAGATTATATTAACAGGTGAATACAGGTACTCATTATTATAAGACTTTGGTTGAGATCCAAGCTCCAAGCTTAGTATAAATACTATATAAAAGAAATGCCTGAAACTTCCTCGACACACTCTCTCCAGTCATTAGAGTATAATAATATTCACAGGATAAGTGTGATAGGATCTACTTGTCAGGGTAGAAAGCCTGTTGACTAGGTAAGGAATCCGCCACGAAACACAATAGATTGGTCTAATAATTGATAAAGATAGTCTATATCTATAAGATAGACTGATTCTTGAGAGATCAGTAGCTTATTATAAAGGAATTAACACTTTATAGATGTTAGGAAGATATAGAATCTCTATTAATAATCTCATGACTCTTGTAATTATTATAATATATTATTCTGATATTCAAGGCCCTGATAACTAGATTATTCTATTATAAATAATATCTTTCTTTGCTGGAATAAGCTACCTGATTTAAGTATTAGAGATAGCTTCATGTATTCTTAATTTAAAATAATATAGATTTGATAACAGGAGGCGGGGGGTCCGCGGGGAATGTTATAAAGATAAGATTATATATTATTTTTATATAATTTTAAAGATGTTTAATTATATTTACATGAGTGGATTAGTAAGGAAGAAATATAAATAAAAGATTTTTTTATATTATTCTTCTTTTTTCTCTTTTTCTATTCCAGGGTTATTATTTCTTTAGTAGTTCAGTATTATTTTATTTATTCTTTATGGTCTTTTCATTAATTCTTTATTATTTCTATTATTATATATTAATCATTTAGTAATCAAGTATTATTTTATACTTATTTCTTGCTTTATTTATCTCTGAATTATATATTTTATATTAGATTTTTTAATATAGTTGATAAAGTATACTGTTACTGCTGTAGAGCTGTAGTTAACTAATTATATTTTATCTATATTATAATAATTAAATTATAATAGTTATAATATATATATTATTTTTATACTTTAATAAAAAATTTTAAATTTAGTAAAATGGAAGTGCAGGAGGCCTTTAAGATTAACTATATTTTTAATAAAGAAAAGTCTATCCTGTATTACCAGTATTACAGCCAGTATAATAATTATAAAGTAATATAGATTTATAAATTTTCTTTAATATTTCTGGACTAATATTTCTGGACTAATATAACTAGACTTTTATAAGAGTTTTAGAAAATATTACTGAGCTAGTTAAGCTTCTAGACTAATATTATACTTATTTTTTTTATATCCCGGAAAATAAAGAAAATAATACTTTTATAAATTTTAATAAAGATACTATTCATGCTGCTAATAATTATATTATATATTTAGATAAAATCTTTATCTAGATAATAATAATTTATAATTATTATTATAGTCTTTCAGTCACTCAGAAATCAGTATATAAGGAATAGCTTGATTATTAATTATTATATTAATATTTTACTAGTATTATATTACTAATTATAAAGTATTTCTGGCTAGATATTACAAGATTATAAGAATTAATATTAAGAAACTGTATTTTATATTTAGTAATTCTAGCTTTATTTTATAGATTTTAGTAAAGCAGTTATTTTATACTAGTATTTTAGCTGCAGTTAATCTGTAATTTAATAGTAATAGACTAGATAATATTTTTAAGTAGATATTTGAAGAGTTTCCAGTAATTTTAAGGAAATTATAAAGATAGTCTATTTCTAAATTATAATTAAATTAGTACTGAATAATAGTAAATTGTAATTATTAATATATATAGATATAGTCTGTTATCTTATAATAATATTTAAAATATATTTATTAATATATTAATAAAATATTATCTGACTGGTTCACTATCAACGGCTGGGTATGGTTCTATAGACTAACTAGTAGTATTTTACTAGATTTTCTTAGATTATTATAATTTCTAATATATTTTCTAATATTCTTTAATACTTTCTTGGGCATTTGCTATGTTTTTATTAGAAATTTATTAATTATATTTACTTAATTATCTTTTTTATTTAATCAGGTAGTAGTCTTGGCTGTTATATTATTAATAATCTTTAATTTTTTTAACTTTCTATTTATTCTTATTATTTAAGTCAGGTATCAGAAGCAGTTCTTTATATTCTTAACCAGTATTTTACAGTTCTAATAAAAAAACATGAAATATATTATAGATTTATTTATATTTCTTAAGAAAATATAAGTAATACACTTGGAATCTGATATATTTAAGAATCTGAAAAGATTTTATAAACTTTAAAACTAATTTTCTTAACTTTTTAAATTATAAGTTCTGGATTAATAGCTTAACTAGATTTTTTTTTAAATAAGAATAATCTTCTATATTTATTATAATATTTTTTTCATCTTTTTATAATTATTTGTTATGTCTTCTGTAACTGTTCTTTTATTTTTTTAAATCTTTTAATTTTATTCTGTACAACTGGGACTTCTTACTATTAAAAATTATCTTTAATTCTGATATAAAAGTCCAGGAAATAATTATATAAGATATAATAAGAAAATATATCCGTGGTTATATTATTTATATTATTATAAGTAAATTAGACAGTTGGTAATATTACTGGCTAGTTAGAATTAAACTAGTTAGAGTAATATTAAAGATAATATTCAAGAATTTAGTTTATCTATTCTATTTAGCTATTAATTTAAAAATAAAATATAGTTAATAACTTCAAGATTATATAACTGTTATATACTAGATTTAATCAGAATTTACTTATAAAAATTAATTCTTAATTAGATATAATATCTGATAATAGTCTAAAGACTAGTTTTACTTATTTATAGAACAGTTCTGCAAGATCTAGAGTACTTATTATTAATAGAATAGTAAAGAAAAGACAGTATTTTAAGAATTGATTAATAATAATAAGAATAATATCAACAGTTTTACTATATTAGATAATCAGAGATAGTCCTGTAATAAAATCTATTATTAATTTATTAAAAAAATAAGATAAAATTAGTAGGAATTCAAGAATATTATATAATTAATATTTTAAAGTAGTATTATCTTAATATATTAAATAAGTTTAAACATATTTAACTATATTATAATGTAATTTATTCCAGTAAAATTTCCTGTATAATAATATTTCTATTCTTATTTTTCTGAAGTATTTTATTAGTAGATTATTATAATATAGATAAATAAGTATCTGATATAGTATTTTAAAAAAAGAAATATAATAATAGTCTTTGAAATATGAATAACCTGTAATTTTTACTGTCCAGTACTTTTAGTCTGGTTAATTTTATTAAACAGCAGCTTTTTATTATTATATCTCTAGATCTTTATTCTGTAAATATAAGATTATCTCTTAGAATTTAAAATTATATATATCTGAATACAGAACTTCTGTGGTATATATTTA